TCTATGGTTAGGGGGTTGACCTTGGCTTTTTAAAAAATGGTCGAGCCATTATTTATTTTTCAAATCTTCTTAACTTTTTTTATACAAAGGAAGATGACTTTTCAAGTTTTTATTGAGCTCAAGAAATTGGAAAAAATCTTTTTTGAGGGTCGAGTTGTTATATAAAACTAGCTTATTTCTTGAGGATTTTTTTCACCACAAAAAATTCCCTGGAAAAAGGGGATAGAAAAGACAAGACTTAATTCTCTATAAAGAATAATGAATCTTACTATGTAACTAAAAGAATTTGAGATGAGTTAAGTGATAGTTAAATTGTAAGATAAAAGAAGCTCTATAATAAAAAAGTATAAAAAAAGTATGAGGTCAACTATTATAAAGTCTCAGCATACCTAAATTTGACTGGACTTTAAAGGGATAATAACCCTATCATCGGAGGTTGGCACTATGATACAGTACCTCTTCTTAGAAAAATAAAACCTAATTTTCACTACAAAGACATGATGAATAGAGCACAAATTAGGGTGATTCTAGGATTGGCTCTACCCTTTAAGCTCTTCATCACCTTCTCGGGGGTTATATCTAAGGGCAGGGGGTGTAGAATAGGGTGAGGTTTTCATTATTATCAACATCAATAGCTTCTGCTTCCTCTTCACCTTCGTTTTCTCTTCAATTTGGCTGGACCTTTTGATCTATTCAACTCTGAACCTGATCATCATTAGAAGCCTCACTACTCATCAGTTTGACTTTAGAAGAGTGAGCAGACCCTTAAGCTGAATAAGAGCTAAGACCACCACGTCAAAGGAAGAAGAAGTTAAGGAAGAATTAGAAGACTCCTTAGACTCAGAGGTCAAGTTAGAGCTAGACTCTGAGCTTGGATTATTGACAGGTTGGGAAAAAGAAGAAAGGTGAAAAGAATAAGAAAGGTAAGGATAGTTGAGGCGGGAACAGAAAAAGAAAAAAGAGGGTTATATGGAGGAGTTAAACTAACCACAGCTATGTGAACTTAAGGGTTTTGGAAGTTGGAATAAATTGGGGCCAAAAGCTCGTCCATCCATGATAAACCCTTTCCCCTTGCTCAAGCGTTGTCCTCGATCTATTTTTAGTCCTCAGCAAACATTGAGTTTAAGCAATAGGTAGCTTGGTGATAGTTCTTTTTTGTAATGACATAAGGGATCATCCAGATAGAAAGCCTTATGATTGAGTTGACCTCTCATTACTTTTACCCTAAAGTTATCAAACATGCTAGACTCAGAAGACATAATAAAAAGGAAATGAAACATATCGAAGAGTTTGAGAAGAAAAAGATTGAACGTAAAAAGGCTAGAAGATTTAGAGGTTGCTTAAATCTAGTTGGCTTGAGAGCTTAAATGTCTTGGTAGTCAAAAAATGGGACTTTAGAGGGCCCTTTATATAGCCAAGTCCCATATAAGATAAACATCTTAGATTAAGCCACATCACTATAATGGTTACCGATGATAACCCTTCACATTCTTAGCCTTAATTCGTTGAACTGCCAAAATTTCTTTCTTCAATAGATGCAAATTCAAATGAATCTACATAAGTTATACATTGGTCCTTTCACCATGCAAAACTCACCATATAAAACCCATTAGTATCATTTTAGCAATGTATTCACAATACATCAGACCTTTGTGACCCATTGCAAAAAATTTTACAAGTGTCCCTTTGATTATCAAAAAAAGGAAACAATGAACGAATTGTGAGTATCACAAGCATGACATCAACCACAACAATACAAGTTAGCTACTTCACCTCAAACCTAAATAGTGCTACCATCTTACTCACGTTGGTACTCTCGTTCATCACCTTGGCAAAAATGAGGTCGGGACAACCATTATATAGAATCTCCAAAAAAATATCTGTGCTCATTTAGCAGCCTGATCCAACTAAGGATAGATTGGTCGACCTTATTGTCATCAGTTTGACATTTTAGATTGCTCAATGGAGGGACAAAATGTTAGGGATATAATTTGACGTAAAATTGATTAAAAGTGCCTTAATATCCTAAGAAAAAAGTTATGAAAATTTTAATATAAAAAGGTAAAACTAATGTAAAAATCTAAGAGTAATAATACAATTTATATTAATTGGAGTAGAATAGGTTAAAAGTGCCGTAACACATTGAGGAAGAGTTATGAAAATTCTAAATGTAATGGAAAGTAAGAATAAATGTAAACAGATTAGAGTAATAATGAAATTCGTACTAATTGCTGTAAAATTGATTAAAAGCAACGTATTACTTTAAGAAAAAAGTTATTAAAATTCTAAATGCAATTGATAAGAAGACTAAACCTAAGAAGATATTATTTTAACATAAATAATTAAGTTGATAATATAAAATTTAAATTATTTATTTTTTGTAATTTTTTTAGGCTAATTACTAAAAAATACTTTAAAGAATGACAAAGAAAATACAATGTTAAAATTAATATTTGAAAATAATTTTTTTTAAAAAAATTATGTACATAAACATGTGACAAGAGTAATAAAATTTGCGTATCATTTGATTAAAATAATTTAGAAGTGTTGTAACACTTTAAAAAATAGTTATAAAAATTCTAAATGTAATAAAATGTAAGAATAAATGCAAGCAAATGTTATTTTATTGTAAATAATTATGCTAGTAACATAAATTTTAAATTAATTATTTTTTATATAAAAATCAATACATTTAAACAATTTTAAAAAAGGAAAATAGTAACATGATAAAAGAGAATCCAAAGAAATTAAAAAAAGTCTTTGACGAAAATTTTCTCTATAGTAAAGTTGATTTCTACTTAACGTTTCTTGGAATTCAAAAAAAAAAAAAATACAAAACTGTGCACCAACTTTATCAATGTCTATAATAGATTGTGCATGATGGAAAAAAAAGCTCCATCTTGGATCCTGAAAATTCATATTTCCTTGTTATATTTTTGTCTTTCTTCTGCGTTGCTGACCTACCTTAATCATACTTCTTTCTCGTCTGTCGTCAAACAGTTTCCATTGAAGCAAAGCATCGTCTTCTATCATCCCAACATCTTGGGGCTAGCTACAGTACCAGACACTTTTGTTTCATTTCTGCATTGCTCTTCTTTCTATAACTCAACTAAAAAACAAAAATTAGGTACTTTTTTTTGTTTCAATTCTTTTTTTTTTCATTGGTTTATTCTATACTTATCTCATCAGTTTTTATTTTAATTTTACTAACATGTATATGAAATCCATACATAGGCTGGTCCTTGAATTTCGTTCACTGATCTATGGAGTTGGTGAAGTAAAAAGTCCATATAGCTCTTGAAGATCCATCACAAGTGAGGTATGCTCCAATAAAACATTTCCATTTTATTCCCCAAAATTTTTGCAATGCTCCACTTCTTCAGTTTCTTTATCTTCTGTGTTTATCTCTCTACAATAAGAGAAAAAAAGTTTTGCTGTATTTGTATATGAAAAATAACTGTATTATTTTGTTTCTGTATCTGTTCTTATTAGCTTTTAACTCCATATTTAAATACCAAAATTAAAAGTAGAATGAATAGATTTATTTGAAAATTGAGAAAATATTTGATAGAATATTCATGGAAATATATACTATGCCTTTACTCTAACACATGTATGGTATAATAACGTATAGATCCATAAACTTATAATTAGATCTGACTTTAAGGAGTCGTCACTAATCTTTTTTATTTAAGTGTAATTGATCACATAATTGAATATATTTAGGTGTGTGAAAATCTATTTATAACTACTCCTTCTGTTCCTTTTTTTTTTTTTGTTATTTTTTTGGGATGTCCCAAATATGTCCTATATTTTTTTAACATTTAAAATTCTTTTTTTATACTTTAAAATTATTTTTCATGTATTTTTTACCTTTTAACAATAAAAATTATAAAATTTTAATATTAAATATATTAAAATCAATTTTTTTTAAAAATTTTGTGAAAGTCAATTCAGATAAATATTTTGAAATGTAAATAGTATCAATTATTAAATAATTATTACCTTATAAAAAAATAAAATATCTTATTATAAGATTTTAATTTTAATAAATTTGTGTAAGCAGTGAAGTTTTGCAGTATATCAACTAAGATAATCTAAAAAACTACTTTTATACGTTAGGATGAATCAATGGAGGGAAAAAAAAAAGATTTGAATCATTAAATCTTTCAACGCCTTGAATTTAATCCATGAAAACCAACAAAATAAAGTAGGGGTGAAAGTGATTGTTGAAAAATAATTGAAAAAAGACAAAATAAAGGGGTCAATAATTCAAAAGTGCATCAATGATAATAATGAAAATTCATATTTCCAAGGAATATTTATCTTTTTTTTCTTGTTTTTATCACTCTACAATAAAAGCAACAAAAATAGTGTTGCTGTATAATTTTTTCTTTCTTTTATTTCTATTTTCTATTTTTTTTATGCTATATCCATTCTGATTTGTTTTTAACTCCAAAAAAGAAAAAAAATATTGTTTCCTTTTTCTTTTAATTTCTATTAAGTTTGGTCCTTAATTATCCTTTCTCTCTGGAGTTGGTGATGTAAAAAGTTCTCACAGTTTAATTTAGAAGGTCCATCCCCAATTACGTATGCTTCAATAATTATTTTTATTTCCATAATTTTCTTATATGCTCAAAAGTTGTTTACTTGTTTGTTTCCCTGGCATATTTAAACAAAAAAAAAAAAAAAACTGCATTTATAAGGAAAAAAGTTAAATAAATAGATTCATTTAAAAATTGAGAAAATATTAGATAGATTAATGATCAAAATATATACTATTCCCTTACTCTAACACATGTAACATATATTCTTAGTATACGCATGAACACTAAATAATTTCTTCCATTTGCAGAATTTTCAATTTTAGAGTTGATTTCTCTTCTACTTCACAATTGGCTCCCAAAGCAAGTAAGGTACATTGCAAACATTCACAATTGCATTCGTCTCTCTAGCTGTTTTTATGTTTACTAATCATTAAAGTTGTTTTCCAATCTCAGATCATCAAAGAATGGCTGCTGAATTTGCTGCCTCTGCTGCTGCCAATGCTGTAGGAAACCTCACAACAGAATATGCATCACCTTATGTTAGTTACTTTTTCCGATTTGGGAAAATTGTTGAAGAATTCAAGAATCGGAGAAATGAACTTGAATTGAAAAGTGATCGGGTAAAAAATGATGTCGAAGAGGCTATAAGGCAAAATGAGGTAATTGAGAAGGATGTCCAAGACTGGCGAAAAAGGGCACAGAAAGAACTGGAAGAAACCCAGTGTTTGGAAGCTGAAATAGAACGTATGAAGTGTTTCAACTGGTGTCCAAGTTGGGGTTGGCGATATTGCTTAAGTAAGAAAGTGGCAAAGAAGACGATCTCTATCGATAAACTTCTTGTGAGTTGTAACTTTCCACGGGTGGGCCACCGTGCTCCTCTAGAAGGAATAGAATTCTTCACCTCTAAAGATTTCATGCCTAATGAGTCTTCAAATTCAACTTTAAATGACATCATCAAGGCTCTAAACACTGATGGTGTGAACATGATTGGATTGTATGGAATGCCAGGGGTGGGCAAAACAACTTTGGCAAAAGAAGTTGGGAAGCATGCTAAAGAACAAAAGCTCTTTGATAATGTTGTGATGGTTACAATGTCCCAAACTCCAAACATCAGCAATATTCATGACAAAATTGCAGAATTATTACGCTTCAAATTTGAAGCAAGTACGGAAGCAGGAAAAGCAGAAGAGTTATTGCGGAGATTGAAAAACGTGAAGAAGATCCTCATAATTATTGATGATGTTTGGAATGAATTTGAATTGCAGACTGTAGGTATTCCATTCGGTGTTGAACACGAGGGTTGCAAAATTCTTCTGACCACACGTCTTCAACAAGTCTGTGTTCGTATGAATTGTCAAAAGAAATTTCAACTGGACATCTTATCCAAAGATGAAGCATGGGCTTTGTTCAAAGATACTGCTGGTCTAAAAGATGTTTCTTCGAGATTGAATGATGTAGCCCAGGAGGTTGCTCGTGAATGCATGGGTTTGCCTCTTGCAATTGTGACAATCGGAAAAGCTTTAAAAGGTGCAAGTCTAGATGGCTGGAAAGTGGCAAACAAGCGACTCAAGGACTCAAGAGATTTAGACAATGAAGAGGTTTCTCAAGGTATCTACAACTGCCTTAAGCTGAGTTATGATTATTTGAAGGGAGATAATATTCGAACATGTTTCTTGCTGTGTTCCCTTTTTCCAGAAGATAGGGATATTGATATTGAGTTATTGGTTATGTTTGCAATTGGTCATGGATTATTTTCTGATATTGACTTACCTAAAGACTTATTAATTGACGACTTACGGAGGGAAATTCGTGAAGCACTAAGAAAACTCCAAGAGTCTGGTTTGTTACTGAGAACTGATGATGATGATGATGAATTAAACGTAAGAATGCATGATGGTTCGTGATTTTGCTCATTGGATAGCACCTACAGGGAAACATATATTCATGGTAAAAGAGGGGGGTTGATGGAATGGCCTCTAAGTAAAAGTTGTGGATCCCATACAGCAATCTCCTTTTGGAGCAGCAACATAAATATTTTTCCTGAAAATTTGGAATTTCCTGAACTCAAAATTTTGATTTTTGCAGGAAAGACTACAGTGAAAGTTCCGAATGCATTTGTTAAAGGAATGAAAGCCCTTCTTTGTATCTCGAAAATGTCATTTTCTCACTAGAAGTACTTCAATTCGTATCAAATCTTCGAAGTCTATGCTTTCTAAATTGCGGGCTGGAGAACATCTCATCATTGAGTAGTATGGAAAAACTTGAGATTCTTGCATTTTCTAATACTAATATTTATAAGCTACCTGAAGAATTAGTGGCATTGCGTAGACTAAAATCGCTACGTTTTTCTTATTTTTCTATCTCTAGAAAGAAACAGATCGATTTTCCCCCTAATTTGCTATCAAGGTAATAGTAGATGTCAATTATTTTTTATTATATTGCTGAAAATTAAGTATTTAGTTTTATGTTATTTATTTTTCTTTTATTTACTTTATTATAAGTAATTTGATTTTAGACTATAGGAAATATATCTACCATAAGCTTTTGGTCACTTCCATTTTTATGAAACATTCGAAGCTGTAGTCTTTCCATTTAAAAAAAATGCTAGTATATAAGAGGATTGTCACATGAATTACGAAATAGTAAAAAATGCTCAAACCTTTTTAATAAGAAAAGGTGCTGAAAAATCATGATGTATTTGCTGAGATAATTAAAATTAACTTATGTTTACTTCTATTTTTATGATTCACTTGAAGTGTTTGATAATGGTTTTTTGTATTTGTGTAACAAACAGGTTGACATCACTCCAAGAGCTACACGTCGGATGTGAAAACAATGTTAACTTATCGGAGCTGAATTCATTATCTCGTTTGACTGCACTGTCATTGAGTGTTTCTACAGCTCAATGTTTTCCAGAAAATTTTGTGTTCCCTAAACTACAAAGTTTCATTATTGCTGTAAATGAATATCATCCATTTATGCAGGGGCTAAACTTTAGAACCTTGGAAATTACTGAATTCTCGTCTTCATTAAGTGCATTCAAGGAGTTGTTTTGCAATGTGGAAGAGTTGGCTCTGAAGAATGTTGTCATGAAACACAAAAATATTGTCCCAAACATAGATCCAAAGGGCCTAGAAGAATTAACTTCTCTTGAGCTTGAAGATTGCAATAATATGGAATGCTTAATGGATACAACACGAGAGAAAGGAGCAACCACTGCGTTCTCTAATTTGGTGAAATTGAGAATGGTGAAAATGACTCGTTTGAAAGAGTTGTGCCATGGTCCGCCTCCGATTAGCTTCTTACAAAAGTTAAAAGATGTGACCGTTGAAGATTGTAAGCGGTTGAAAGTGGTATTTGAAACGAATAGTCTTCTTAGAAAGGGAGAAATTAGTCAGACACCGTTACTCTCAAATTTAACAAGCTTGAATCTATCATTCTTACCAGAATTGGAGAGTATATGGAAATTACAATCAGCCCATCAATGTCATGCAAGCCTCCAAAGTCTAAAGGATGTAAACATTGGGGAATGCAGTGAATTGAAATCCATCTTCCCGCCTTGCCTTGCTCAAAGTTTGTTGCACTTACAAGAACTCGTAATATCTGACTGCGATAGATTAGAGCAAGTCTTTGATTTTCCCCAAGAAATGGTTGAGCTTCAGGTACCTTTTCTCTTTCCATTTCTCCTTCAATGAATAATGAGAAATTACTAAATTTTATATATTGATCATATAATTAACTTTTGTTGAAGTTTAAAAGAAAGAAAGTTTAATTAAATTATATTAATAACTAATCTACATGTATATTTATTACATGGCTTGCAGGTTGAGAAAACAAACACTATATATCTTTTTTTGTCTTTATTAACACACTTTACAAAATCATTGTATTTTTTCTCCTTTTTTTTGTTGTTTATTTAAATAATATATTATTTAATAACTACTATTATTACCTTTGTATGTATGTCTTGTCCATATATTTATTTACATTTTCAATCAATGAATTCATGTCAGCTACCGCCACTTTCTAATTTAACTATTTTGGAGCTAGATTTTTTACCAGAATTGAAGTGGATATGGAAAGGGCCCACCCATCGTGTTAACCTCCAAAGTCTTAAGACTATGAGAATAAGGGAGTGTGCGAAACTGGCATATCTCTATCTGACTCCCCTTGCTCAAAGTTTGGTGCATCTAGAAGAACTCGAAATAAAAGATTGTGGCTCTTTGGAACATGTAATCTTCGGAGAAGGAGAAAATGAGGGTCAAAGTTTGCTACAGAGACTACAAATTTTAAGACTTGAAAATTTAGAGAAGTTGAGTAGTTTTTGTTCAGAAAATGTTGTCATGTCACTATCTTTGAAGGAGGTCAAAGTTCTCAATTGTCCCCAATTAACTGAGCTTAAGACGTTGCAGTCCCATTTAAAGGTACTTCTCTTATACTGTCATTTTGTCTCAATTTTGTTTATTTTAGTAATAATTAATTGAATTATTTATCTCATAACACAAATGTCCAAATTTAGTACATTCACATCTACATGTAAATGTATTATACATAATTAGCTTTTGTTGAAGTTTAAAAGAAAAAAGTTTTATTAAATGTATATTTATTACATGTCTTGCAGGTTGAGAAAACTAACACTATGTATCTTTTTTCTCTTTATTAACACACTTTATAAAATCTTTGTATGTTTATTCTCATTTTTTTTATTCTTTATATAATAAAATATTATTCAATAACTATTATTATTGAATTGATAAAGCTTTTAAATCGTACGATTTGGGGAAGGGAAAAAAAGGAAAAAAGAAAGAAAAAAAAAGAAATGAAAGAAGAAAATGTAGGAAGTAAAAGAAAAGAAATGAAAAATAAGGAAAAATAAAATTATTTAAAAAGTTTAAAATTTTATAATCTATTAGTATTAAAAATTAAATTAATAAAATTATAATTATATCGACTATTTTTTACTTTTACGCATAGCAATAATAGAATTTTATATTAGTTTTACACACACCATTAATTATGTTATAATTGTGTTCAATTTATATTCATATAAAAATTTATGGATAAAAATATATATATAAATATTTTTTTATTGTCATGTTTTATCGTATCCATGTCCTCTATTTTTAAAATTATTGTGTTATTGTGTCCATGTAGTGTCATACCTATATTAGTTATACTCAGTTTAATTTAAATTGTTTAAATTTTTACAGTAATGAACTTTCAGTGAAAAGTGAAGGATAAAAATATTCTTTTAGCTCAAATCTTTCTTTTTCCTAATAAGAGAAATCTCATTATATGTTTCGAATTTTGTTGCTGTTTTCCTTTATATTGTGAATCTATCAGGATGTTCCATTAAATGGTTTCAAGGAATTATTATGCAATGTCAAAAACTTACCACGGATGGAATCATGCATCACAAAAATCTCATTCCAAACGTCGATTCACGGGGTCTACATGAATTAACTTTTCTTACACTTGAAGATGGTAAAGAGCTGGAATGCTTGATTGATACAACAGATCAAGGCCATGTCTCAACCATTCCACTGCTGCCAAATTTAACAAATTTGAAGCTGAAGTCATTACCAGAATTGAAGTGGATATGGAAAGGGCCCAGCCATCATGTCTGCCTCCAAAGCCTGAAGGTTGCAGTAATTAGTGGCTGCAATAAATTGAAATATCTCTTCTCACCATCACTTGTTCAAAGCTTGGTGATGCTAGAACAACTCAAGATAGAAGACTGCGATGAACTGGAACACATTGCCACAGAGTTGGAAAGCGATGATAGTATAGAATCAGACAGTGGCCTTCTCCATCCTCCGCCCTTGCCAAAATTGGCATCTCTTGAAATACATGGTTGTCCACGACTGCAGTATGTCTTCAATGTCGCAGAAGAAAAGAATGGAGTTGATCATGCCATTGCTCTCCGTCGCCTGCAACATCTACGACTTGAAAACTTGGAAAATTTGAGTAGCTTCTGTTCAGAAAACTATCCCATTATGTCACCAACCTTGAAGAAGTTAATCATTGTGGTCTGTCCTCGATTGGAAAATTTCATTATTCAACTACAAGTCCACAAACAGCTTCAACCAAAGGTATTGTTACACTCTTTTCCTTCAATTGTAGTTCGAGATTTTGCCTTTGGTATTTGTTTTACATACATACTAGCTTTTTTAATCGTGTTATTATTTTCTTAATTTAAATTTATTTTTTAACTTTAATTTTTTATATTTCCTCAATAAAAGAATATGCAAACTTTTATTAATCAACTATATAATCATACATTTATAAATTTTAAGGTACGATTAAATGATAGCATTCACTTATTATCATTTAAAGTATAATCTTTTACAAAATTTCAAAGAATTATGCAAATGCTTTCTTTTTTAACAAAAAATATTTTGTTATTTAGCTAAATATAAAAAATTTTGTTACTAATTATTTATTTTTTGATAAAAAAAAGAAAGGGTCAATCTTTTAATAGTAAAAAATTAATAATTATTTTTATGATAATGTTAATATGGATATAAAAAAGATATCATTTTGTTAAATTATAAGACATTTATATTAATAGAATATTCATAAACTATTAAATCTTATAAAGTTGAACCAAAAATAAAACATAAAATAATAATAATTTCTTTTTCTATATATATTTGATTGAACAATCAAGCATATATAATTATTAATTTGTTCATAACCATTTGCTTTTTATTAATTATTATTTTTTACATACTTCAACATATATATTTGCTTTTTATTAAAACATAAGTCAAATATACATGTATCCAAAAAACCAAATATACGAATTGAGGACGCATATACAGTTGAAATCTCTTGAACTTATGCATAACAAATATCCAACTTAACTAAATATATATATAAATATATAAATGAATTTTTTTAGGATAAATCAAATCAAATGCATATATCATATAATAGAAATAAGACCAAATAAACAGTTTGAAGAAACAAACAAATGGAGGAAATAAAAAAATAAAAAAGAAATAAAATATGAAAAAGAAAAGTAATGAACCATACCTATTACCGAGTTGAAACTAATCCAAATGTACTTTCGTTTTCTTTCCATTATTGAAATTTGATAAAAAAAAAAATCAATGTCATTTAAGCAAAAATTATATAAAAATAAAACAATCCAACACCATCACATACTTATTTTTGCAAATAAAAAAAAAGAATAATAAAGGCAAAAATGGACTTACTTGTTCATAGTATGATGTGGTTTACTCTTCTTTCTAACATTTGTCCATTCCCGTCAAAACTAATAAATCATAACTGTCAAGTAAAAAAAAGGCTTGTATTTTTCAATTTTTAATTCTAATAACAACAAATAAAATAAGCTTGGCTAGAAGGTGACCTCTCATTTTATAAACTCTTTATTTTCAATTTTAGATTCTGATTTCATCAAATAAAAATTTAATAAATATATATATTTGGAATTATGATTAAATTTTAAAAAAAAAAGATAAATTATGATTTAGTATATTTAAATTTGAAACTTATGTAATATTTTCAACCTTTGATAGAGTTTGGTTTGAATTTAAATAATTATGCAAAAATATTAAATTTAAATAATTTATTAAATAGAATTATTTGATGGTAGATAAAAATATATTAACCATATAAATACATATATTTTTGGAACTATGATTAATGTAAAAAGAAAAAATAAATTATAATTTAATATATTTGAATTTAAAATTTATGCAAAATTTTTTTTATAGATTTTGATTTTAATTTAAATAATTATTCAAAAATATTAAATTTGAATAATTTATTAAATGGAGTTATTTGATAAATAATATAATAATATAAACATCATCCTACATGTCATAAAGAGAAGTTATTCACATAAATGTACTTATATATATATATATATATTAGATTTTGTACTTTTGAAGTCATATATTATTTGACCATTGTAATTTATTCAAATTTTAATGAAATTATGATATTTTTATATTTATACAGGAGTTACGATTCTCTGAGTTGGGACAAGACAATGTGTGTGACACTATTAATTGGGAGAATATATTTCAAATTCAAGGCGGACACTTGTTCTCAAAGATAGAGATTTTAAATCTAAAGGGTATACATCAGTTGCAGAGTCCCATCCAAGTTGCAAGCCTTCCTTATCTTAAAGACTTAAAAGTGTCAAGTTGTAAAAGGCTGAAATCTCTCTTCTCTTCTATGCTTGCTCCAAATATGCCGCAATTGAAAGTTTTGAAAATAAAGTGTTGTGAGGAGTTGGAAGAAATCATTGAAATGGACCAAACTTCAATAGCATCATCATCACAGAGTCATCTCCAACCTATATCCTTCCCTATTCTTCAATTTATATCTATTTCTGGGTGTAGCAATTTGAAAAGCTTGTTTCCTATTAGTGTCGCCCGTTCTTTTGCCAACCTCGAGAGAATCCAAATTGAAGGGGCTTCTAAACTAGAGCAAGTCTTCGGGTATCAAGGTGAACTAAACATTGAAGATGATCAAAAGGGAATGGTGCTCCCTAAATTACAAATTTTGAATCTTCATGAGCTATCAAGCCTAAAGAGTTTTGCTCCAATGGGTTATCATTTCCGATTCCCTTCTTTGTTTCATTTTAAAATAACCAAATCTCCCAAGTTGACCAGAAGTGTCATCATGGATTCAAAACATCCTATGCCTGCCATAACAGAGGTACCTAACCGACTTTTTTTTCTAACTATTATGCTTAATTAATTAATTTGTTGTTCTTGATCATATTGATACTAATGATGAAATGATGATGCATTGAAACAAAAGTTATGTTAGTAAATAACTACATATTATTATGAATTGGATGATTCTTTTATATACACACAAGTCATATGCATAATTAATTAATTAATTACTTCTAGCATTATTTACTTAATAAGAATTGTCTTTATTTTTTGTGTATCCTCGTGACAAGAAAACGGAAATTTAGTACTTTATGTCACTTTTTTGGGTAATTTGTTGTGAAGGAACCCCAACAAGTTCAGAATAATACAACAGAAGGTTTCACCACAATGGAAGAAATAGTTGATAATCAAACCACTTGCAATGATATAATTTGGAGAAGCTGTGAAGATCAAGTACCACAATATATGACTGTGGGACAAACAAGGATAACGTTACACAAGGAAGTGAAAACTTCAGGAGAAACTTGTTAGCTAAGCAGGTAAATAGGGATTTTTTTTTCCATGTACTGTGGTGGATTTACATGGTATTGTGGGGTGTCCCTTGAAAAATAAAAGAAAATTTAAATAAAATTTTGTGTTGGATACCCATAAAATTTTTTTGGAGACTCCTAAAAATTAAAAAAATAAGAAAATTTAAAGGAAATTTTTCCATGAACATCCAAAAATTTCTTCTAAACATGATTTTAATGGATAAAATTAATAAACCCATCGACGGTATTTTATATATTATAAGTGAACATTTTTTGACAAAAATCTTGAATCCACCATTGTCCATGTATTTATGATTTCCTTAATCAAGCTTCTTGTTTAAATTCTTATTGATTCTTTGCCTCAATGTAGGTGATTGATACTTGATTGTGCTCATTATCATTTGAGCTTTTCTGTTTTATGGTACCGTCAACTGATTGGATCTCTGCTTTTTCAGCTTTACTTTGCAATGAAGAAGTAATTTATTCTATGTTGCATTGCATTTGCTTGTTTGATATTGTGAAATAAAGCCATATTTAGCCATTCATTTAAGACAAACTTCATGTATATATATATATATATATATATATATTTTTTTTAATATTTGGACTGGAACTCAAGCTTGCATATCTCATAAATCCTCTTCTTATCACTTGGCCGAGAGATTGGTGGCGAAATTCATGTACTCTTAAGAAACATGGTTTTTTGTGTTCAGTTTAGTTTGCTGGTTCTTTATTAGTTGCTTGTAGCAGCTTGAATGGATGAGTAATACATAGTTATGTCTACTTGCATGTCATAGATAGTTTTCTATGCTTGTTTTTATTGTGGTGATTTAATAATTAATTCAATGATAAGTTATTTATACGTTACGTTATATGAACTCACGTGATAGGCCAATAATGTACAACTAACGGCTTAACACTTACATACTTTTTTTTATATTCTTTTCATTTTCGTTTTTTCTTAATATAATTAAAAAGAATTCGATTAACCATGCTTATCATAAGTAGTGATTATGGTATATAAGTCATGGGGAGGGGAGATTTTTAATTTCTAGTTTTAAATTTCAAATTAAAGCCAGAAAATCATTCTCCTTATTTCTAGTTAAGATTATATATGACTTCTTTTGGTTATTAGAAAGCAAAAAAGCTAGTCTCATTGCAAAGCGTTCATGAGTTCCAAAAAAATGCATGTCAATGGAAATTTGAGGAAATTCTTTACTTACTAATTTTTTTTTATGAACTTAATAGTATAAGGAAGTATTATATTCCTATAAGAAAATCATTGAATTAAATCAAACAAATAAATCAACAAATAATTTAATAAATTTAATAAAAAATTAAATTAAATTCATATATGATGAGAAATTAATTTAAAATTTTAATATTATCAGATTTATAAATATTATAAAGTTGATAATGCATAAAGGTAACTTCCAAAAATATAAAAATATTTCGTTTTATCACTAACTATTTAAAAAAAAAACCATGAAAAAAATAAAAAGTGATAAAATTAAAGATTTATAAGATAAATTAAATTGATCATTTGTATCTTTTAGTTTATATTTGCATCGTTAATTTGCTTCATGTTACATCACATGCGTTTTACTATTCTCAAAAAATAGATAAAGAAGTAAAAGATGCTTTTGAAAAAAATTATTTTTTAGAAATAAAATAAAATAATATCCTAAGTAAAATATTTCTTGAGATCCTACTTAGATTTTGGAGAAATTCTCAACAATTATTCTTTACCAAAGAATATTATCTTTGGTTTTAAGGATTATCATGAAAATACCCAAATGAAAAAACATTTTTCTAAATTTCATCTAGTTATTGAGGAATTTAAAAATGTTTCGAAACAAAAAATTTTCATTTGATTCCTAAATAAAGCAATTCTAAAAAGGATGGAAAAAAAATGTTTTAAGATAATAAATGGGATTTAAGAAATTATTTTTAAATTTTAAAATTAAGGTAATTTTTTTATCAATAATAAAGAATAACATGCTATTAATTGGTATTGTTTTTTAATGGGTATTATGGGATGCTAATCCTTATCCACATGCAATTGTACTTCTAAACTTAGATGTGTTTTCACATACAAAAAATATATTTTTAATAAGTTTTAGTTAAATTTAAATTTTTAAAGCGATTCTAAAAAAATTGACAAAAGGGGGGTTTTATAATAATAAATGGGATTTAAGAAATTATTTTTAAATTTTAAAATTAAGGACATCTTTTATCAATAATAAAGGATATTATGTTATTAATTGGTACCATTTTTTAATGGGTTTTGTGGAATGCTAATCATTCATCACACATAACCATAATTCATGAACCTAGATGTCATTTTCATATAAAAAAAAATATCTTTCTAATAAGTTTTAATCAAATTAAAATTTTTATTAAAAATTTTTTTAGGTAACCATTCATACGTAATCCAAAAAGATTGATAACGACTCCTTGTTTTAATTTTAAAATTTTGTCAAGTGGTCTGGTTCTTGAACCTGCATGCTATAATAGCTTAATGACACCAATGGGGATATTTTTTTAGAGTCAAGTCAAAAATGAATTATGTGTTATCCTAAGTTTTAATTTAGTGGTTTAATTAATATTTAATAGTTATTCCTTTATTTGTATTTTTAAAAACAAAAAAAAAAGTTTGCAAAAACAAAAATAAATAAATAAATGAATAATGTTGGTTGCATTCGTGTTTACTTATGTCATTTCTTATGTTAATTATGACATTTTCTCTGTAATCTAATAAATTGTGGGGCATTAAGGATATTGGTATATAAATAAATGCAGACTCCTAATCAAGTGCATTTTTTAAACAGATTGTGTATAGTTTTGACTTTGTTACCATAATTGCCATAATTGAATAGTGTTCAAGCATGGAAGTTGAAGGTGGAATACTGTTCTATACATCCTCCTCATACCCTCTTTGGCAAGAGTTTCTGCAACAATTAGAAGAAAAAAAGGTCCTGAATGAAGTTGCTCATTCAAGTATACGCTAACCGAGGCAGGATGGATGAATGTAACCATGGCTGACAAAGCAGATTTTTGTAAATCTTGAGGGAGTGGAGAAAATACCAAGGCTGTGTTGACAAGCATTCATCTGGACAGAGAAAGGAATTATGTATTTTGCGCATGTGACGCCGCGGATTTTGAAAGAGAAATGAAACTTATCCAACATGAAACAAAGCATTGCTATGATCAACTTCAGTATTGCTTATCTCATAATATGACTTATGTGTTGATTTTGGCTAACGTATCTCCACTAAGATCATTTCTTTTTAATCTGAAAATTAGTTTGTTTCTCATTAATCAGTGAATGGATCCATATGTAATTATTTTTATTGGTGGTAAAGGCTGTTTAAAGCTCACAAAATAGACAAAGACTCGAAGGATACTCCAAAAATTTGCTTGCTTTTTTCAGAATATTGTTTCTGCAAAGAGCAGATGTTGATTTCTGTATATCATTGTTTGAGAAAATCATTTTCCCTATATTTTCCATTTTAAAATTCAAAATTTTTTGTAATAAGGACATCAATTGCAAGTTCTGGTCAAAGGGCAACAACATGTAGGAACTAGGGAAGAAGTGATTTTGCTGAGAGCTTGCTAAAAAAACTATGGTTCTATCGTAATTGAGCTTTCTGTAAAAAATATGATTTTGTCTAACTACATGGTTCTGTCTTAATTCTTTTGCAGATACAGAAATAGTGATTAAATATGTAGGCTCTGTTTTCTTTCCCCTTCTAGATATCAAGTTGATTTTTCAGTGACTTGTTCACCTGTTGTGGGCAGTTTCAGATCGGAATTGCTAAGAGTTCAGGTGCTCAGCGAAGTTTCAGAGGTTCTCCTTCAATTATTGATTTGTCAATGATATTCCATGTACTAATTCAGCATGTCTTTTAAATTTCAATTCTCAGGCATGGCTAATTTTGGTCTATCTGTGACATTTGTGCCGAATCCAAATTTTTTTTTTATCGGGAGTGTCCACTTATATATATATATATATATATATATATGACGGATTTATCAATTTTGCTGATTGAAAAGGTGGCAACAGAAAATTTTGGAGGTGTGCAAGAAAAGTTTTTCTGTCAAACAATCTTGTTTTCCAATCCACGGACACCCTATTTCAAAGCATGGATCCACCTCTGCTTCTGGTGACACCAGCATGCAATTCCTCATCTTAGTTATGTTTTCTGTTTTGCCAGTTATGTTGAAGACCTCAGGTAAGAGACAATGGCACAAGGGCGTTTGCAACATGATGTCAATGACGCCATCAGGCAAACTGAAGAAATTGAAGAGGATGTTGTCCAAAAATCAATAAATTGATAGTATAATGACAAATTTTAATATTAAATCAAAATGTAGTGACAAATTTGATCTTAATCCCAAAGTTTTTTATTAATTTACTGTTAGCAAGCCTCAAATGATATTCAGAGTATTTGATGCGTATATACTAATTATAATTCTGTTTAAAGAAAAATTTCTACCATTAGTT